TTTTGATCCTGCATTATTCTTGGCAGGAAAAACAAGCACACAGACTCCAAGGGGTGACAGCAGAAGCCCTCAGATATCTTACACAGAGCAACACGCATCAGTCCAGCGTGACCTTGAGGGCTCCCTCCAGGCCAAGTGATAAAACAATTCAGGCATTTCAAATGTCTTACAAGAGAATACATTTGCAACACCAACAAATTAGTTTTAACTTAAGATACAGATGAAAGTGATAGAGCAGCTTTAATGGCAGTAACACGGCAACCTTGCTGGTGGTGGAACAGCAAAGCTGAAATCCCATCTGCAAGGGTTGGACAAGGAATGGGCTGCAAATCTCATCCTGCACCAGGCAGGCCCAGAGCTCTCCAAGGCTTTGTGAGAGGTGCCCAGCCCTGCCCTCTCCCGCCTGCAGCAGCATGAGCCTGTCACTGCACCTGTGCTGCCCACTGCAGCTGGGCGTGCCAGGTCCCCAGGAGGGTGTCGTACAGCTCGGTCAGCTGCCGCGCCACGCTCAGGTCACTCTGGCAAAGCTCCTGCCACACGGCCACCAGCTGCACCTGGTGGGGAACAGAACCATCTGAGAAGAGAACTGACAGGCCACGGGTCCTGCTTTTGCCGTGCCAAACCCAGCGCTCCCCATGCACAGCACTTCTGCCAAAACACGAGGCTCACACTTGTGCCACTCTCCCCGTTTCAGCATAACATAATTCAGCAACACAGAAGGAAAAGAGACTTTCAGCACAAAGCTCGAAGCTTCTTAGTGATTCAAAGATTTAATTAACATTGGTATTTTACTCATAAAATGAGATTGCAACTGATACCCCCACATAATATTTGAAATACTTGGCAAGCCCCAGCCTTGAACTTAATCTTCAAAAGTCACAGTCATGTGAGAAATTTGAAGCTCAGGTTATGGCTACAGAACTGTCTGGAATTCCAGCTTTTAATCTTACCTGAAAAGACTTTACAGAAGTCAGCAGCTGGCAAGTTGCAGTAATAAAGTCACTGCTGACATGGCCACATCCACAGAAAGCAAAGCAAAACCATGAGCACAGAGAAATCAACAGAACACACACCGTGTCTGCTGCAGGGAGGGACACAAGGACCCAAATGCAGAATTACTCCTGCAACACGGGCAGTAACCAAAGCTGGTCAGAGCCAGCAGGAGAAGCCACAGAAGGAAATAGAGAGAGGAAGAGGTGCCATCCCCCACCACAGAACAGCTGGGATCCGTGGGGCAGCAGCTCCCTCTGCAGCCAGAGCCCAGCAAGAATTCCGACTGCTATTCCTCAGTGTTAAATGTTACCAAAACACTTACCTTGTGACACTTGTAATAATAGGCAAGAAGCTGGGGCATCCGATCAATTTCAGTGAAGACTTTAACAAACATTTTTGCCTGATCTAAACAAAACAAAGTAACATGCATCAGGATCAGCCTCAAAGCTGAGGGTGAGACATCAGTCTGAGCAGGAACTCCTTTTTCTAAGGGAAGAAGCACAATGGGCTACAGAAAAGACAACTTCATCTTTGTTTGCTTATCTTCTCAAACAGGAGCAGAACTGCCTGAAACCCATCCTCAAACAAGATCAGACAGCAGACACAAGGAATGAACTTAACTTCCTAACCAGCATATAGTGCTAACACATCCAGTATTGAAGCCAGAGCATTTCCTAGAAGGAAATAATTAGTTTCTAGAAACAAGCCAGCACTTACAAACCTAAAGCATACATGGTAAAGGCCTCAGCTTTGCTTTCACCTGTCCTCAAAATGATCCCTGTGCCTCAGACTGACTCATGGCACAGCTGCCTCTGCCTAAGCATGCACAGAGCTTAGAAACACAGGTTCCTCAAAAGTCTGGTTTGTACCCCATAGCCCCAGATCCCTCCAGGACCTCGAGGTGCACAGAGATGAGTATCAACAACCAGAACAACTATTTTTCAGAGGTACTGACAGCAGCACAGGGAAGGAACAACACAAAGAACTGTCCAAAAAGACCAATTTTCTACAGAGAACTTGCAAAGCTGCTTTTACAAAGTACTAGGAAGTCAGAATGCTTGCAAACAAATTTCCTCCCTGACTACACCAGTAACACCATGATAACAGAAAGCCAAGGCCCTTCTGTTTATTTGAGCAGTACCTCCACCTCACACATCCATGGGGCCCATAAAATCCTGCAATCCTCTTGTTTCCTTCAGTGGCCACAGGTATCCCAATCCATAGGAAAGTCAAAGCAGCACTGGCCTGCAGGCAGCTGCAGAGCCCAGAACATTCCAGGGCATCTGCTCCACCAGGAGAGCTCAGGATCCAGTGCCAGGAGCCTTCAGGACACCACCTCTCCACCCAAACTGTTTTAAAGACAATAAACTCAGTGCTGACAGTAAACAACACCAGGAGCTACTGACCTACGGACTGGGAGTTGAAAGCAGCAACAATCTGAGGGCTGGCCATGGCCTCCAGGCGGTTCTTCAGCGCCTCCAGGTGCACACACTTCTCTGAGTAATCCGGCGTGTCCACCAGCATGGCCAGGCTGCTCTGCATGCTGGTCAGCTTGGCTGAGATCAGGGACACGTCCTGCCAGCAGGGAAGGGCAGCCCATTACCAAGGGCAGCCTCAGACAGCACCAGCACCAGGCACGTGCCTCACAGTCGCTCCAAAACCCGACTGTGAAACGCAGCTCCCTGAAAAGCTGGAGGCACAAACACCAAGTAATTCAGTATCTACCTGTGTTTTGAGAGTCTCTTCAATATCTGCACTCAGTGTGCTCCATTTGTCTGCCTCCTGAAGTGACTCGGCAGCCAACTGCATCCTGGACTTCACCCGGTCAATCTCCACCAGGACCTGCAGAAAAAACCACAACACTGTGTTCCCCACTGAAACAAAAAACAGCTGTCACAGGTACTTGGGAGTTACCTTCTCCTTAAATTTTAAAAACAAAAAGGTGTGGAAAGATTATATTACTACAAGAAGACGGAATGGTTTGAAGGAGCTAGAGATGTAAAATCATCTTTCAAAGTCAAATAACAGGTTAGTTTGAATTCTTGTCTTGTTCTTTTAGTATCCACTTTGTCTGAAAATGCTGTGCACCCCAGGCAGAAACCAGTGTCTCCATTCAGGCACCAGCAGCTCTGGACAGACACCTGAGCAGCTGTTCCTCAGGAGATGCAGACTGCACAGCTGTGTCACACCCACCTTTCTACTACTAATGTTAAAAGAAGTGGTTTTGCCTATCTTAAGTTCACAAGATTACTTCATGTGAACAACTCTGTAGCTTTCAGAATTTCACAAGTTGCAGGTAAATGCTAAGAACTGACCTGCATGGACTGAGCTGTGTCTTCCTCAAACTTCTTTATATCCTCTTTAACGAGGATCATCTGCTCCTTCAGGAATGTTGCCTCCTGTTTCAAGACTTCCACTTCCCGGAGGACTCTGGGCATATTCTGGAGTGCCTGATGGCTTGTTTCTGCAGGAGCACAGAGCAGTCAGTGAGGAGGGGTGACAGCCTGTGCAGGGACAGGTAGTCTTTCAATAATCTTATCTAATCTCTCGTACTTGAAAAAACAAAGCAAAACATTAAACGACAAATCTTCAGCTGTATCTTTAAACTTTAAGTGTGTATTTTATCATGGGATCATTTAGGTTTAAAAAAGCCCTCTGAGACCATAAAATCCAGCTGTTCCCAATACTCCAGTCCTGTTCCCCCATCACTTCTAAGACCACCACTAACTCATGTCCCCAAGTGCCGCGTGCACATGGCTTTTTAATCGTTCCAGGAACTCCAACCCTACCCTGGGCAGCCTGTGCCAGAGCAGGGCAACCCTTTTGGAGAAGTTTACCCTGTTATCCCACTAACCCAGAGCTGGCAGCAGCTGCTGTTTCCAGCATTTAACGCGGATGTGTTGGTGAACAGCTGCGAGACCCGAGATGGGAGCGAGGATGCCGCGGTCCCGGGCACGGCCGGCCAGGCCGGGACTGCCAGCGTGGCCCGGCGGCTCTGCCCGTCCGCGCCGGGAGGCTGCAGCTGCGGGGACAGCGGACGGCAGAGCACCGGGCAGAGCCGTGCTGCACCCGGCAGAGCCAACCCGGCCCGAGCCGTGCCCGCCCGGCCGCACCTTCCACGGCGTTGTTGACCTCCTGGATGAAGAGCTGCAGCTTCATCACCAGCGTGGCGGCGTGCGCGTCCACCTTGCCCGGCGCCTCCTGCTGCACGGCGCGGAACGCCGCGTTCACCCAGCCCTTCACCTCGAACTCGTCCGACAGGAACCGCGAGAAGTCCATGGCGGGGCCGGGGGGACCGGGGGGACAGCGGGGGGACAGCGGGGGGACAGCCCGAGCGGCTGCGGCCCGGGCCCGCCGCGCACCCGGAAGCGCGGGGCGGTCCCGGGGCGGTCCCGGGGCGGTCCCGGGGCGGTGTCCGGGCGGTCCCGGGGCGGTCCCGGGGCGGTCCCGGGGCGGTGTCCGGGAGGTTCCCGGCGGTCCCGAGGCGGTGTCCGGGCGGTCCCGGGGCGGTCCCGGGGCGGTGTCCGGGAGGTTCCCGGCGGTCCCGAGGCGGTCCCGGGGCGGTCCCGGGGCGATCCCCGGGCGGTTCCCGGCGGTCCCGGGCGGTCCCGGGGCGGTGTCCGGGAGGTTCCCGGCGGTCCCGGGGCGGTGTCCGGGAGGTTCCCGGCGGTCCCGGGGCGGTCCCGGGGCGGTGTCCGGGCGGTCCCGGGGAGGTTCCCGGGGCGGTCCCGGGGCGGTCCCGGGGCGGTCCCGGGGCGGTCCCGGGGCGGTGTCCGGGCGGTTCCCGGCGGTCCCGGGGCGATCCCCGGGCGGTGTCGGTGTCCGGCCGATGCCCGCGGCCCCGTGCCCGGCCCGGTGGCTGCCCCGCGGCCCCGCAGCGGCCCCGGCCCGGCCCGGCCCCGCTCCCTCCCGCCGCTCAGCTCCCGCTGCAGCCGGGACAGGCCCCGGGGACCGGGCCGGGGTGTCCCTGTGTCCCGGGAACACGCTGGCACGGGGCTGAACGCTGGTGCGATTCACTGTGCTTTTTAATTCAGAAGTAAAGTGCGGTGGCCCACAAGCAGCGGCAGCTGTGCGTGGCACAAGCAGGAGGCTCCTGTAAAGCCGCTGGGCCACAGGGCAAGGCTGGGCAGCAGCCGGTCCGCACTCCTGCCGGCACGAAGAGGAAGAAGGAGGTGGCAGATCCCCAGAAATGCGGCCCTCACGGAGCGCTGCTGGTCCCCACTCGCTCCCGATCTAAAAACACGGCAGTGCCCGAGCCAGCTGGACTGCAGCTCCTGCCCCAGAGCTCTGCTTCTGGAAAGCCAGTCACCTCTCCCACCTCACAGAAGGGCTGCACGCCCTGCGTGAACATCAGTCTGTACCTCAGCCGGACGGGATCCTGGGAGAGAGAGGAAGAGAGGGGCACACCATGGTTATCAACTCCTGCACTCCTTCACCCCTCGTGGCCTTGCTGCAGTGAGTCACCTCTGAAAGGGGAAACACCAGCCTTGCAGAAGCTCTGCACAGAAGGAAACCCTGGATCTTCCTAAGACAGACAAGAGCAACTGGAAGACCTGTGCACACCACCCATGGGCATGTTGGCAATCCAGGCCTGGCCTGCCTACTCAGAGACAAGGGAGTTCCTGACACCGATCTTGGGTCTCATAACTATCACCAAGGCAAAAGATCTGCCACCCATCACTTGAGCCTTGGGTGCCCCTGTGTTCCAGCAGCTGCCAACACCTGCACCGTGAGTGCCTGGAGCTGTGTCTGTGTCTGTGTAGATACTCCAGAACTGCACAGGCCCCTGCAGCGACTGCCCACACAGTCCTTCAGACTGTAGCTCTGGAAATCTCTTTGAGCAGAGAAAACATCTTCCCAGCACAGTCCAGACTGCCCTGTCTCTCCACTACACCTCCCCACTTTTAAGAGGCTCCCCATCTTTCAGGCAAATGGCCGGGGGGATCCCAGTGCCCAGCAGCAGCACCTTGTGTGGGTTGGCAAGCAGCAGCACCCGGGACAGCACTGCGGGCGGGAGGAGAGGGTTGAAGGCTGGCAGCTCACAACCAGAGGCTGGCTGTAACTTTATTTGCATGGTCTGAAAGAGAAAATAAAAAAAAACACTTTTTAGTCCATGCTGCGAAAAGGGCTGTGAGCTTAACTGAGCCATGGAGCCAGTTAAAGATACATCAGTCAGACTCTTTATTCAGTGAAAAGCACATCCTGCAACTAAAGGCAGGTGTTCCTAAACAGCCAGTTCTATGCTACACATGCACAGGGAGCAGGAGCCCTGCCCAGGAGGCTGAAGCAGCACTGGAGCTCTCTGGCCATGGCAAGGCCATGGACACACTCTGTGAAACAGGCACCGATGCCACAGGCACCAATGCCACGGGCACCGCTGTACAGCAGGTTCTCTGTGCAGAGACAGAGAGCCACCACTTCCCATGAGCAAGGCGAATGCTCAGTAAGAAATGGTGAACCTTTCTTCTCAGGACACTTCTGAGCCTCTCTGCTACTTGTCACAGCTTCTGACCTTTGGGACTGCAGCCTGGAACACTATGTCCTTAATGGGGTGCGCTGAGGTGCTCAGCATGGACAGAACCATCACCAGCACGTCTGGTCGGCCGGGAGCCGGGTCTCTGGAGAAGTGCAGCATGGCCTTGAAACCATTCCTGTCATACACAGTGAGTGGGCAGATAGTGCCTGCCAGAGATAAATAGAGAACCAGAATAAAAGCCTGATTCCCCTCCCATTTGAGGGTAAACAGGAAAGATGGGATAAGGAACAGCAAAAAGGAAAATGCAGACAAACTTTTACTTCCTTTGGCAAACTCACAGACCAAGTGGCACACTGATTTATATCTGCCTCTAAGGCAGAGACAGGAATCTGAATGTCTGCATTTGGGATTTAGCAGCTCAGATTTCTCCAGCCCTTGAGAGAAGTCAGGTGTGGATCCAACAAAGATACGGTGGGAAAAGCAAAATGCCTTTCTGAGTACACACAAGATTTGGCTGCCTACCATCCATGCCTGGCAAATTCACACCTGACTATCACCATCCAGCCCTTCCAAAATCTGCCAAGACCTTAATTTGAGAATGAAGGCAGATCAGGATGTCTGTGCACTTGTCCTCTTCCAGCATCACTGAGAGCCAAGGCTCTGTGGCCCTGGGCTGAGACCCCAGGGTGGCATTCCCAGGAAATGCTCTGGGGAGGAGCTGCAGAGCTGGGCCATACAGTGTGAAACTGAAAAGCAGAGGTGGAATGAAGAGCTCTGCTTTAGGAAGTGGGGCACTCCCACTCAAAAGTGTCTTTTAGGACTTTTAGTAGAACAACTGTTTGAACCTTGACTGAAGGTGTGAAGGACTGGGTTTAGAAGCACATTACAAAGATCAGCCAGGGCAGAAAACTCCTGAGCAAGGACTAGGGAGGACAAGGACATCATCATGCTATGGTCCCTAGCACCTACTCAAATTCTCAGGTACATTAAGCCCAGCACAGAGCAGTCATTACGTGTCTCCAGTGACCCACACAGCATGAAGCTACTTTGGCTTCCTGCCCTGCAAAACTCATGGAAGAGCTGTAGAAAGCCGCTAGTAAGCAGAGCTGGGGCACAGAATTGCACTTACTTGGTGTAACTGAAATTAAAGGCACAAAAAGGTTTTCTAGAGAAGCATCATAGGAAGCTGCATGCAAAGAGGCAGCAGGCTTCAGATCATAGCCTGGGCTGAGGAGTGGAGGATCTGCCACTGAGTTATTGGGAAGATCTGGAAAGGGCAATTTCATTGGTGATAAATCCCTGGAAAGAAAAGCATGCAGAAAGCTTGCATTAAGTGGGGATACTACAGGGAATACACTCACTGTCTTCTGCTGCGTCTGTCTGTATTCCCAATCCCTCATCCCCTTTAGGTATAAAGAAACTACAGACTTACACTCTGAGTCCTTGACGAATTCAAAAACTCTATCATCTATGGAAGATCTTGCTGTTTCAAAATTCATTAAGGCAGGTTTTGGTTCTGTTACTATGGTAAAACTTAGGTTTAGGGCTTTGGAAGTCTGCCGTCCCTGTGCACAGCTTCTCTGGAGCCCTAGTCAGGCAGATTAAAGTAAATTCCAGCTCAAAGACATTGCAGGAAGCTGAAAATCTTCAGTAAAATTTCTTGTATTACGGCAGAGTGTATAAGCATATTGTAATAGTCTCCTGCTCTGAAGATCTGTGGAGATTAATTTGATTTGTGAACTGTTCCAAACATCCACTGAATGTCTGGAAACTATCTTGTCACATTCTGGAGAAAGCTGAGGAAAGTGTTTTTTAAGTGATAGGTTATTATAAAAAGGCCTGACTGTAAGGTTTTTGTTCTTTTAGCTCAACATCACCTTGTTAACAACCAATGGGATTTGTCTCCCCAAATTTCTGACCCTTGGAAGGTCCTGGTGTGCAATTAACTGCAATTAACCGGTGCACAACGGCAGGGGACAGTCAGTGTGTGCATGGATCACTTGCCATCACTAACCAGAGGTAGCTGTAAAATAATTAATCATCCCCAAAATCTGACTCTATTGTGAAGAGTTTACTTACAAAGAGAATGTCTTGGTCTTGGATGGTGGAGAGAGCTGTTCATCCAGGCTCTGGAATTCACTCTTCCCTGCACAGCTGTCTTCCCAGCCCTCCTGTGGTGCCTGGGTTTGAACAGCACTTACACCTCCCCTAAATCCATTGTGCACAGCAGGCTGGAAAATAAGGCCCTTCAGGTTCATGCTGTATAATATCAGCAAAAATAAACCTGTTGCACTGAAAAGAACTCTGTTTATCAAATACCACTACCTAAAGCAGAAATACATATGAGTCATTTGGTTGCAAACTGCACCTGAGAGACTGAAAGCACAAGGTTTCCAGCTCCCCTCAGAACAGAGTGGTACACCAAAAGGGCTGCCAGGGAAAGGCAGACCAGAAATCATCTCTGATTTTTGTCCTTTATACCTTATGGATGGCAAAGTACCTGAGCATCGCTCGCCTCTGCTAGGCCAAAATCAGGGGGTGGTTTCTGTATGACAGGGGAGCTGCTGAGACCTGAGAAAGACACCAAAATGCCACAGGTAACTTAGAGAAAACAGGGGTTTCCACAGGTGCTTCCTTTGCTGTCTAACACCACTAGAGACACTGCACCCCTGAAAACTTCCATCTGGAAGGCTCTGCCTTGGGACTGACGTCCTCCCCTCTTTACTGAACACCACAAACCCCAGCACCAGGGTGACACTGAGCTGCACCTACAGACCTAAGGACCAGAACTCCTCCTCAAGCAGGCAGGTGGAGGTTGTGCTGCCACGGGAGCATGAGGGTGAGTCTGCAGAGAGCTCTGGGGGGGCCTGGGCCATGGCCTCCAGCTCGGAGAAGTCGATCAGGGTGTAGCTCCTCGTGCGCCGCGGGGCTGCTCGGCACGCTTGGGGAACAGAGACACAGTTAGCCAGGAACCTCCAGAGAGGATGGCACACCCACAGCTACAGCTGGACCTGAAAGGTGAACAGCTTTGGGAATACTTCTATCAATGACATGCACGAGAAAATGATGGTTACATAACACTTGCCCTGTTTGTTCTCTGAGAAGCACGTCCCTCCCAAAGCCCGCTCCCACCTGGCATGCAGGGCAGAGCTGCCGTGGGACGCTGTGGGGGCTCTCACCTGGTGCACGGGCAGAGCTGGCAGCTGAACCTGCTCCATCCCCGTTCTCCTGGCTGGCCACAACCTGCCTGTGCTGCCCCAGCGCCCGTGAGAGCTTGTCACTGGCCTGCAGGATCTCAGCTGGGAAACCAGAGCAGACAAAAAATACTCATGTTCCAGCAGGAAGGCCAGGTCAGTTCCACAGCACTGCCCAAAATGCTCCTGGAAGGGACAGTGCAGCTCAGGAGCAAAGGCCAGCAGAGCAGGCTGCCCTCAGCTCCTCACTCGCCTTTCATTCCATTTGCACACACAGCTGCTGATCCCAGGCCTCTTCTCATTTATCAAGATCCCTTTGAAATCTAATCCCGTCTCTAAAGTATTCCTGATTCCTGCCATCTCCTCTATACTTTCTTTTTCTCCACAAGTTTTCCCAGTGCATCTCAGTCTATAATCCAGCACTCCCCAGCTGAAGAGCCATGGTACCTATGGGTATGAAGGGAAGGAGTGAGGTGCAGTTAAGCTCTCAGGGTTGCTGTTTAGGATGTCTGTTCTGCAACCATTGCTTCAGTCAGACTTTCAAGGCATACAGGAATGAAATGCCAGTTGTGGAATGAAAAGATTCTGCTTTTACCAAATTAACTCTAGCTGAAACCAGAACACCTTCCTTGGTATTACACCTAAAAATTCAAAATATATTCCTCTTTCTACAGTTATACTTCAATCTCTGGAGAGAAAAGGCCTCAAAAGCCTTCAGTTCTGTGAATATCAGAACTCAAAAAAACTCACCACCTTAACTGAAGAAATGGACTCACTGTTTAACTTTGGGCTCCAAGTGAAAATTAACAGTTTCCTCAGAGATGAGCAGGAGACCAAATGCCACTTCCCCTGGGCATGGTTTCATGGTGAGAGTGGAGAGCTTTGCCCACAGGTGCCAAGCAGCTGAGCACTCCCCTCCCAGGGAAGGGCACAGGCCTGTCCCAGCTGCAAAGAACCACCAGGAACTTACCCAGAGCCTCCTCGTCAGCCACCGCCTCGCTGGCCAGGCGGAAGAGCAGCGGCCTGAGCTTCTCACAGCGCTGGGACAGAGCCTGGGGAGGAAACACTCCACTGCTCAGCACACTTCTGGCTCTGCCATCAGCTGCAAGTGGTGCTCCCTCTAGAAGAGGGAAGAAAAGGAGCATTTACACAGGAAAAAAGAGCATTTACCTGTAGAGTCTCCTGGTCAGCTGGGGATAATTCATGTCTCCTGTAGCTCTCCAGTAGCTCATCCATACGTTTGACATTCTCAGAAACCTCACTGATGGTGTTCACTCTTTGGGACACCTGAGCTGACTTTTCTTGCTCCTGTGATGAAAAATGAAAGGAAGGTAGATGATGCTTGGCTGGAGCACTCAGGATCACACCTATCAGTATCTTATTGCAGGTGGAGAAGGCACAAAGCAGCACAGGTGAGAACCTGCCCCCAGCTGCCCCATCAGGGCACCCTGGCCGTGTGCTGTGGAATATGGAATACATCTCACCACAGGCACGAGTGTGACTTCAGAATCTGAGCTGGGAGTTGGTGGCTTCTGCCACACAGAATGACACACTCGAAACAGCCACAGGGCTTTGTTGAACCAAATCTCCTCTGTAAGCAGAGAAGTGGGATGCTCCTTCAGATGGAACGTGCAGACAGGCCAGACATGCACACACTGCATGCAGGAAAGAGGCAGTTTTGTACACAAGTGACTTCTTTCCATCTGGGAACTGAATTTATTTTTGGAAATTTCCAACCACTACTGCAGTGCTACTGCCAAGGTCCCACTGACAGGGAAGTGTCCTGCTGTATGCACATTCACATATTCCCTCTTCCTGGCAATGGCACATTTTGGGGAAACAACACAAAATGACCCCATGCTGCAATCTCAGAATCATTGGGAAAGACTGACCATGGCCCCTTCTCTTGGCATGGCCAAGCTCCCTCCCCAGCCTGGCTGCACAGAAGCTTCCCTGGGGCTCCCACCTCTCTGACGATGCTCTGGATCAGGCGGTTGGCTGCCTGCAGGTCCTCGGGGTGGCTGCTCTTCAGGAGCCTGGCCAGAAGCTGGGGGCAGAGATGGGGCAGCAGTGAGCCTCTGGGCACTGTGCACACACCCCAGCCACAGACACCTGCTGCAGAGTAGGCCTGTAATCCTGGAAATCTCTCAGCTCCTGTCCCACAGTCTAATCCAGGTTACACTGCTGCCTGCATACACTGGCTGCTCAGCATTAGGGGCTCTGGCTCTGCAGAGCTTCTGTAAGAGCTGGAGAAGCCCTCCCTTAGGGAGCTTTCATGGAAACCGATGTTTTTCTGTCAAAAAGTTTCACTTCTTACTAAGGAAATATTTCTGACAAAGCCTCAGAGAGTTCTCTAGCTGTTGCACTGCAGAAGGGATCAGCATTACTCTGAGATTGTCTGGAACAGCAGAAGCTCCCAAAATATTACTGAACTTTTTTTCTCATCAGTACAAAACAGAGGGTGGGGCATGAAGACTCTAAGGTTTACCTTGGACTTCTCTTCATCTGTGTCAAAAATAGAATTCTGAGGTCTTGGGGAAGGGGGAGGTAAAATTTTGTCTTCTGGCAGTTTGGGATCTTCTTTTACAATCCCTGGAACAGGCAAGAGTAGTTGTTCAGTGATGCCCAAGCTGCTGAAACCTCAATGCTCAACAGTGCATGAGGTTTTGCACAGATTTCTGGATTAAAATACCACTGAGGACTGCTAAACACAATGGAGTGGGTGAAAAAATCCATCCCAGGATCCCTCTGAACTCATCTCTCATAACCCTGGGAGATACTCCAGGGCAAGGATCACTTCTGAGCCTGTCCTGTGCTTTTTCCCTGCACACAGTGTGAGCAGAGGCCTCCAGACTGGTCTGAGCTGTGGCTCAGGAAGGCTGTTCTTTGGAAAATTCCTTTAAACAGTTCCATGCATCCTTCAGAACCAAACTAGCCTGGGACCTTTGTCCCTTTTCCTTACACAGCATGTTCTGAAAAAGCTGAGTCACAAGCTGAGGGGGGCAGATATCTGTGGGGGAAACCATGGGCTTGGGAGGCTAAAAAGGAAACTGAAATAACAGAACTGAACCTTGTTTCTTCAGCATCTGATAAGCATCCTGGATTTTGACTTCCTGAGGAAACCAGACTGTCCAACTGAATATCACTTCTGTGACCCTTGACTTGACTCTTTCTGAAGACCAAATTCCATAGTACTGAAAACAAGACAGTAAAGAAAGACAAAAAAGCTCAAACCCAAAGAATTGGTGCCAGATCTGGAACAGGCATCCAGCCCCAAGGAATTTTTGTGCAGAAACGAAGGATAAAATGGATTCCTCCTGTGAGTTTATTCACAGTGCTGTCAACTGTGTATCTTGGGGTTAGGAAACACAAGAACTGCTATGGAGTGTGTAAGAATCACACACGTTCTACAACAATCAAAATTAAACCACTTCAAACTTTTCTGATCAGTTATTGAATCCAAACCCCCAAGTAGGTTATTTTAGTAAAAACATTCTGTGCTTGACTTTAAACACTCCCCTTGAGTGCTGCAGTGCAGTCACACCACTGGCCTCAGCCAGCCCCAGACAGGCAAACTGAACAAAACCAGAAACAAACGTTATTGTCTCTTATCAGCATCTGGGTGCTTTCTCCAAGTTCTCTCATTATTGCCTCTGAACACTCCTTTTATTATAAAAACACAGACCTCCTCAAGACCAGGCATTTCAAACTGATTAAATGGTATTTGTCCTCTCAGAGCAGTAAACAGAATTGTCTTCAGTGATATATGCTTTAAAGTCTGTGGTTTCCCTGAAATTCTGTTGCCAAGCATGAGTGAGACAAGGAGTATTGTTCATCAGTTGAGCATTTCTTTGAAATCAGCTTTTTGCAGCTCTGCTCCTGGGCTGATGCAATGGAAAATGAAACGTGCCCCAGTGGTAAATGTGTGCAGGAGCCACCAGAAAGGGAAACCAATGGGTGAGATGCTCAGAGGGTGTTTCAGGCAGGCCCAGGCCCCCCCAACAAAGAGGAGCAGGGCCAGAAGATCCCACTGCCCCTGATAAAGCAGAGCTGCATTTCTTATCCCAAAACACCCTGTAACCTCCACCACCTACCTTTGGGGAAAGCACTTTAATCAGCTCATTCAGAAACCTGAATTTTGCCATTTCACTGTGAAATCTGTCACCACAGTTGTTCACACAGGTCTCCAGCACCTGCAGAAAACAAAATGTTACCAACAGGAACTGAACACACAAGGCTTGGGGAGCTTATGTACTCACTGTGAGAGCATGGAGAGCTTCCCTCTCCTGAGGGGACTGGATTTTGTGTGCCAGCAGCCTCAGCGCAAACCACGGGCTGGGGAAGAGCAAAGCAAGTCACTCCACGCACAAGTTCCCAGGAAAAACAAATGCTGCTGGGTTGGGTGTGCACAGAAGAGCAGCTGCTGGATTCACAGCAGGACAGACACCCTTCGTTGGGCACAGTGCTGGCCAGGGACACTGCACACACACAGCGAGCTGGTGACCCCAGCGCTGCCCTCCAGCCCTGCCCAGGGCTGTCCTTTGGAAGGCAGCAGCAGGGACAGGCTGGGATGTCCCTGGGCAGGCACCTCCTGAGCTGCTCTCTGCAGCTGCAGGAGCTTCAGTGACAGCCAGGGCAGCCTGTGCCAGCTCCTGGGCACGTGCTGGGTGCCAGACTGTGAGCTCTGAACTCAGTCTGCTCTAAACACAGAGATGATCACTAAGGTTTGACAGGTCAATTGCTTAATTAGTTCCTGCTGCTTCCCACAGAGCCCAGACTGTCAGCTGGAAGGTGAGGAAATCTCAGCAGAGATCCTCCTCCCATCTGGAAGGAAAAGGTGAGGCTGAGCTCCCCCGGGGCTCCCCTGCAGAACCCCACAGCAGGAATCCCTGGCCAGACCCCTAAGGGCACGGCCAGCAGGACCTGCTGCCCGGTGGGCTCCAGCAGCTGATGCCAGAGCCCATTCCCAGCCATCACCCTCCATCACATTGGCACACGCCTATTCCCAACTCGTATTTCCAACTCATTTCTGCTCCCAGGAGCGGCAGAGCCAGCGAGCCCCCTCAGCCCCATCCCTGCGGAGCTGTGAGGGTGCTCAGAGCCAGACACAGCCTGGGTGCACACAGAGCTCTGTCTGCCTTACCCCTCCGTGCCAGCGTTCACCTGGGCGCAGAACCGCTGGATGCAGTCCCAGTTTTCCTCTGACGTACTCGGGTCAGTGGCCTCATCTTACGGAGGGAGAAAAACAAGAGAGGAAGAAGGAAAGCCCAGCCCCGGTGTGAGCGAGTACCCAGAGCAGGAAGCAGCCCAGACCTCGCTGCTGCTCCAGAGCTTTTTGTAGCAGAAAGGGGAGATCCAGGACAAGCAGGAAACAGCTGTTACTAAAGTCTGCCTAAAAACTATAGTCCCAAGCACACACTTAAAGTCAAGCACAGCCCTACAACAGCAGACGTTGCTTTTAGCAGGAGAAACTTAAAAACCATTTACAGGTAGCTCTCCCGGGACCACTGCAAAACTTGTGCTGGAATGCCAACAGTTTACACTTTAGCATAGCTAAATTCAGGAAAAAATGTCTTTTTTGGCTCTATCCACTCCCCAGCCTGTCACTGAGCCAACTTTGGGGCTGAGTATGGGCAGGACAGCTGGGGAAAAGGGCAGCTGCAGCAAGACAGCACCCACATCGCTCTGCAAAGGTTCTTGGGGACAGCGGGCCCCTCCCCAGGGAGGTGAGGCTGCCCCAGTGCCCACCCAGGCTGCAAGAGGCAGCAGCCAAGCCAGCCAGCCCCCAGCCCCAGCCCCACTCACTGAGCCAGCGCTCCAGCTGCCCGCTGCCAGCCATGGGCTCGTCCCTGTGCCAGGCAGGAAGCGGCTCCGGCCGCCGGCGTGGGCAGCCCACGTGAGGCTGCTGCTGGGGAGTGCTAATGGGGAAATGCTGCTGGGGAGTGCTAATGGAGAAATGCTGCTGGGGAGTGCTAATGGAGAAATGGTGCTGGGGAAATGCTGCTGCTGGGGAGTGCTGCTGCTGGGGGAGTGCTCAGCACAACCCCTGCGAGCTCCTCCCCTCACCGGCTGCAGAGTAACTGAGAACAGAATCAAAGTCACCACATCAATTTAATAATTAAAGGGGCATCAGACAGAAGAGGATAAAACAACCCAATCTCCTAATCAGGGATGATTTTAGCAGAATCACGTGTGACACAGTAGACAGGAAACCCCCCCCTCTGAGCAGCTCACTCAGCCTGGTATGACACCAGGGCAGATAAGAGGGCAGCAGCTATGATACACATCTCTATATATATACATGTATATAAATACCCCACTGTATTTATTGGGGAACCATGCCGAGTAGCTGCAGGTACCCTGACTGCAAGGTCTTCTCCAAAAAGAATCTGATCTGTTGCTATCAGAAGTTCAGTTACTTTCTGTCCACGTGGTCTGAATTTAAACGCTGATACGCATCTTCTTCTCCCATCCTGCAAAGCAGGCTCCTTGCACGAGGCAACAGCAGGACGGAGTTGAATCTGGACTCGGTTCCTCTCCCGAAATAAGTGATTTGTGATTAGTGCAGGTTCGTACAGATGAGGGGCCAGCCCAGACACCTGCCTGGCCTGAAGCCCCGCTCTGATCAGAGACGAGCACGCAGGTGCCACCTGCACCACCCAAGTGCACGGCCTGGCAGCGTCACCGATGTCCCTGTCAGCTGGACAGGGCTCTGCGTATGCGGCCACACACCTCCTCAGCTCCCAGAGTCACCATCATCTCAGCAACGCTCGGGCCGTGCTGCAAAGAGAGAGTCACTGAGCACAGGAACTGCCCAGCACGTGTCTGCCCACAGACTGAACTGCCCAGTGCCTGTGCCCCACAGACTGAACTGAACTGCCCAGTGCCTGTGCCCCACAGACTGAACTG